GAAAAATGTTTCCAATAATGGAATTGCAGATTCAACAAATGTATTAAGTGTAATGGAGATTACTTTGAAGGTGATAAGGTTGTTTGTAAAAAAAATCAACAGCACACAAATTAAATACAGAGCATTGGGGGGAAAATCCAGTTTTTTGGGGGGTGCCCCCTTGTATGAGCAGAAACTGATGGTACCGAAGGAAGAATTTCGATCTCCACTGATCATATTAGCCAAAAACAAGGCTCCAGGAATTAATGTAATACCCATTGAAATGTTTCAGAAAACTGAAGAAGCACTGGAAGCACTCACTCATTATGCCAGGAAATTTGGAAGAAAGCTACTTGGCCTATTGATGAGAAGAGACCATAGATGTGCCCATTTCAAAGGCAGATGACCTCAAAGAATGCTCCAACTATAGAAAAATATCATTTATATTGCACATATGTAAAATTTATATTTAAGATCATCCAACAATGGTTTCAGAAGCATATTGACAGGGAACTACCAGAAGGCCAGGCCAGATTCAAAAGATGATGTGGACAAATGGCTAGCATTGCTGATGTCAGATGGATCTTGGCTCCAGAAGAGAATATCAGAAAGATGTTTACTGTGTTTCATTGACTGTGCAAAGGCATTTGCCTGTGTGGACCATAGTAAACTGTGGATAACCTTGAGAAAATAGGGAATTCCAGAACACTTTATTTTGCTCATTTGGAACTTGCATATGTGCAAACAGAACAAGGGGATACAGCATGGTTTAAACTCAGGAAAGGTGTGTGTCAGGGTTGTATCCCCTCATCACACTTGTTCCATCTGTATGCTCAGCAAATCATCAGATAAGCTGGATTATATGAAGAAGAATGTGGTACCAGGATCAGAGGAAGGTTTATTAACCACCTGCCATATGCAGAAGACACAGCCTTGCTTGCTGAAAGTCAGGAGGAATGGAAGCACTTGCTGATGAAGATCAAGGATTGTAGCCTTGATGGAATGGAATGTGGAATACAATGCAATGTAATAAAGACCAAAATCCTCACAATTGTACCAGTGGATAACATCATGTTAAATGGATAGAAGGCATCTGTCTCTCATGGAAGCAGCATTCAAGAAATCAAAAGACGGTTTGTTTTAGGAAAACTGATGCACAGGGGCTTTTTAGAGTATGGAAGAGCAAAGATGTTGCTCTAAGGACTAAGGTGTACCTGACCCAAGCCATAGTATTCTGCATTGCATCATATGCATGTAAAAGTTGGAATATCTTCTAAGGAAGACTATAGAAGAATAGATGCATTTTAATTAGGGTGTTGAAGAAGACCATTGAAAGTACCAAGATTGCTAAAAAGATAGATCTATCTGTATTGGAAGAAGTAAGGCCAGACTGTTCCTTAGAGGCAGGATGACCAGACTTCATCTTACATATTTTACATATTGACGGTAGAGGCCAGTCCCTGGAGAAGGACATGTTTGGTAAAGTGGAAAGGTAATGAAAAACATAAAGGCCTTCAATGAGATGGGTTGGTACAGTGGCTGCAACAATAAGCTCAAGCATAGGAACAATTGTAAGAATGGTACAGGATGGTGCAATGTTTCCCTCTGTTGTGCATAGGGTCAAAATGGGTCAGAGTCAACTCGATGGCACCTAACAACAACATTAATAGAAGTAGATTTCAGAGCCTGACAAGTAACATCCACACTTTCACTTTGACTTCAGTGTTTTGCCATGACGGGCAGATAATAAGAGCATCATCATACATTACTAGAGAAAAGTGACTGGGGTACGGTGTTTAGAAAACGTGTCCTGTAAAGAATTTGCTTAGAAAGGAGGCAATTTAGGGGTATGTGTGCTGTATTCAAATGCTCAAGGACTATCATGTGATAAAGATTAGACTTAGCGTGATTTGTTTTGGAGTGCAAAGTTAGAACCAAAGAGGAGGCTTATAGCTCGGTAAAAGAAAGGAATTTCTAATAACTCGAGTGGTCCAAAAATGGAGTGATAATGATAATGCTGTTGTTAGTTGCCTATGAGAAGGCTCTGATTTATAGTGACCCTATGTACAAACAAACACACATCCCTTATCCCTGTACTATCTTTATAATCATTGTGTTTAGGTGCTGGTAGATTTTATTGAGGGTTTTCCCTCACCTTCCTTGGCCTTCCACTTTAACAAACATGATGCCCTTCTCTAGCAATTGGTTCCTTCTGATTATAGGTCAAATGTGAGTTGAAATCTTGGTCAATATTCTGTAATCCTTCAGCCGTTCTTTGGCTAATTTTCTAAATTAGATGGTCAGACAATTCCTCCTAGGTTTTTTTAGGATAGGACACATGCTCTACAAAATCCTGTCCATTACAGGTGACTTTCCTGTTATCAAAACATTGGTAGCATACCTTCCAGCACCACAGCAACAGGCAACATGTACATCACGGAAGTATGATATGCTGAGAGAAAGGCTGTGGGATAAAAATAATAGGTAACTGAGTATTTCCTAAGTGTACAGCACTATGGTCCACTATAAGCACACTATCTTTACAAGAACCCCATGATATCCATGGGCAGGGGAGTCTTTACACTGTCAAGCAGTGATATTAATATCATTTTGAATATTTAAGCATGAGGTAGATGAAGGTCAGTTATGAATGTTTTATATGTAATTTTGTATTTAGGCGAGGGTGTGTGAATGAAGGGAAGTTGAATTAGATGACTCTGTGAGATCCTAGCCAATCTTCGACTCAATAATTATTCTACTTACCTGTCTTTAACATTACAACATTAACATTGTAAGCTAATGATCCAAGTATAGCATTATGAACATTATGAACATTTTATAATATGTTCCAAATGTGTACATATGCACATATGGGTATTATATGCATACATAATACTATAAGTTTACACATGCACCCTAATATTTGAATTTTATACACATCACAGTTTAAGAAGAAACATAGGCAGACATTCTGGATATGTGAAAGCTTTGCATGATTTGCAATCCTAACAACACTCATTCTCTGTTAATTAAGCCAATGAAACAAAGTAGGATATAGCATCTGCTGCACTGACGGTGAACAAGAATTGAACATACACTACCTTTTCAAAAACAAACAATGAGAAAATTTAGGAAGTATCTATTTGAAGAGAATTTAACCTCAGTAGCTAAATTACAGGATGGTTCTCCTACTCTGTCTTTGTGTCACAGATAATCAACACAGAATGTTGACATAAGTGCCTTGGTCCCAAATAAAAGATATGGTGGCTATGCCTTTACATAGAAGGGCTGGCTCCTCTCTAACATGATGAAGTTGGGAGTTTGTCATATTCCTCTCCAGTCTCTATTATAACACATGGAGCCCTTACTTGATTCTGTGTGCATCACAAAGATATAAGTTTACTATGTCATTTAATTATTGCAACAACCTTACAAGGATATTGTTGTTAGACGCCATGGAGTCAGTTTCAACCCATAACGACCGTATGCTTGACAGAAGGAAACACTCTCTGGTCCTGCGCCATCCTCACAATTGTTCCTATGCTTGAGGGCCTTCTTCACAATGTAGTCTAATATTTACAGCTGTATAGGTAGTGATTCATTCTCACCTTCCTTCCCTCGTTAGTACAGTTGATTAAATTTTAGGGAATGCCTTGTGCTGAAATACCAATGACACAGCTTCCAGCATCATAGCAACGCAAGCCAACACAGTATGGCAAACTGATAGGCAAGTGGTGGTACAAAGGTATTATTTCCATTTTGAAGTTAAGTGAAGACATGACAGTGTCAGGATTTGAACACGGGTATTTACTTGTATTTCTGACCATATTGTCTAACCCCAAGTATACTGCCATTGAGTTGATTCTGGTTCATAGAGACTTCTTAGGACAGATCAAACTGCCTGATAGGTTTTCCAAGGTTGTAATCTTTATGAAAGGAAATTGCCACATATTTCTCTCATGCAGCAGCTGGTTGATTTAAACTGCCAACCTTTTGGCTAGAAGCCATGCACTAAACCACTAGCTACCACCAGTCCAGTCATAATGTCTATTTTGAAAATACAAAATATGAGGAAACAGCAAGTGATCTAAAATTGATGGTGAGGAGGGTGTAGGAGGCCTGGTAGGGCGTGATCAAGGGTAATGTAACCGATAGGAATTACTGAAACAGAAATGAAGGCTGAACATGATAGTGGGACAAGAGGAAAGTCAAAGGAGATAGAGGAAAGAACTAGGAGGCAAAGGGCATTTATAGAGGTCTATAAATGGTCTATACAGGCATGTACATGTATAAATATATTTATATATGATGATGGGAAAATAGATCTATGTACATATATTTATAGATTTAGTATTAAGGTAGCAGATGGACATTGGGACTCTACTCAAGTACTCCCTCAACGCATATAACCCCTTCCCAGCCTGATGGACAGCAGAAAAGTAGGTGAAGGGAGACATCGGTCAGTGTAAGACATGAAAAAGTAATAATAATTTATAAATTATTAAGGGTTCATGAGGCAGGGAGGGGAAAAATGAGAAGCTGATACCAAGGGCTCAAGTAGAAAGAAAATGTTCTGAAAATGATGATGGCAACAAATGTTCTTGACACAATAGATGGATGGATTGTGATAAGAGTTGTAAGAGCCCCCAATAAAATGATTTTTTTAACTAGAAAATACAAAACATGGTACAAGTTGTAATGGCTGTCGTGGATAAAAACTGAAACATCCAACATCCCGATTCACATGGTTCAGATCTTGGGGAAAAATTTTATACTCTGACAAAAGGTTTGTTCTCTGTAGCACAAGTGGGGAAGCTTTTTGGAGGTTTGTGGCCTGCTCTATAGGATCAGATGGATATGTTTGAAGAACTACTGGAGGAAGGAGGCACACGATAAGATGCTCCTCAATTTTACACAATCTAGATTCTACAGTTTTCATTTGATATCATTCATAGGTTGTTCACTATATGCAGAACCTGCAATAGCTGTTGGGAAGCTATATACCAGGAAGAAACAATTCCTTCTATGGGAGGGGCTTCTTGTCTAAAGGTTTCCTTAATGAAAAGTCTCAAGGCAATGCAGTGCATACCCTGACCAATCTAAAATTTACTGCTGCATAGGTAGTTATTCTTTTGATAGAGATTCATGCTCACCTTCTCTCCTTCATTAGTATAGATGATTAAAGTTCAGAGAAACTCCTGAGTTCAACTGGCATTTAAATAAGGACAAGGGATAGGAATGCAGTACTAAAGAGCACCAGAAATGATTTAGATGGCCTGCTCCAACTTTTAGGCTTTGGTCAGAAACTGATGTTTGTTCCCCGCAGCCTGTGATTAATTATAACCCTGATTCAGACATACATACTCTAAGTTCTCACTTCTGAGACGCCATCTTGGGTGTGAAGAAAAATTGCTACTGTGACAATTTAAGCAATTGGTGAAAAGCCAGTGTATTTCCCAGCTTACGCATGCCTCAAGTTTCCCATTAATGACAGTCAAAAGGCTAGCCAGTGAACAGTGTCTGTACTCACCATTTTTCCCATCCAGATGGAAATAACTGTACACTTATGAGCTTGAGCTCTATCTATACCCAGGCCTACCTTCATTTGCCTGGTAGACACATGTATAACCACCTCACCGTCCTTCAAAATCTCACAGCCTCATCTTTCTTTATATGGAGACTTTGCCTTTTTGCCTTGTCTTACGCTTTCGTTAAGATGACCTCCTGGATTTAGGTAACAGTGTCTATCAAATGCCAGACTTCTTCCTGTGTTTAATTAACACTGCCTTTTCTTTTTACTGTGGTTGAGAATACACAATGCAAAATATACACCAATTTCACAATTTCTACAAGTAAAATTCATTGGCAGTGATTATATTCTTTTAGTTGTACAATGATTCTCATATGTTCATGCCTCCCCCATTAACATAAACTCACTGGCCAGAAAAGTTCCTATCTAAAATTTCAAATCGCTGTTGCCACTATGATTAAAGGAGGGTAATGCTCAAGGCAGATACTTTTTGAATAGTTTAGTGCAACTATTGTAGGATATTTTTGGTTTATGGTTAAAATATTATTTCAGGGCAATAGGTTCAGGGGTTTGTCTAGCCCTATGGTTCCAGAAAAGTTGAAGTCCATTGCACTTTGAAATTGTATTCTACAGTTTCCTTTTTTTGATCAGGATTCTTCTGTGGAATCTTTGATCAGAATGTTTAGTAATGGTGGTCCGATAGTAACCAGTTCTTGTCTCCTGGCAAACGAGGCAATTAGGCACACATTCTATACCCTCTTTCTATTCTTCACTCTCTTCTTTCTCCAAGTGAACAGACACCAATTGTCATGGCTGCTTGCAAGCTTTCCAGACCCTAGGCGCCATGCCATGAACTAAGAGGTGGAACAGAAGCAATAAACACATTATTAGGCCAATTAACTGATCTGTCCTGTGAAACCATGACTTAAATTTCCAAACCAAGAAACCAAATCCCATGATATTTTGGTTGTACATAACACCAGGCCCAACAGGTACATTTTTTTAATCACTGTTGTATCTATCACACAATTTTTAGCCAATTAAACTTCTGACAGGTGTACAAGTTATTAACATCATTAACCAGCACATTAATGTGCTCTAAATTATCTCTAACAATCTCCAACTTGATATGGGCTAAAGGTTATTTCTCCCTGACAAGGACGTTCAATTCCCCAAATGGCATACCACATGGAAAGAACAATTAATCTAGTCTTGAAACACAAGGCAATTCCATTTCTAATTAGCTGATGAAGAAGTTGAAAGTGAGTCTTGGGTCTACTTGAGAAAAGGTATGGAAGATGGGTATATTCTGGTCCCTAGCCTCTGCCCAAAACCAAACACAGTGTTGTAGCCATTAGGGATGTATACTGGCATAGCCAGAACCAGACCTTCAACAAGGATTCCCTTCTGTCTTCATCACAATACGGCAGCTATGTATAAGAGAGAGTAGAGTGAGCAACTAAGACTCATGTTAACAAGCAACTAAGAAGCATGGGCTGGTGACAATCAAAATGCAAAAGGAGGGACCCCCATGCTTATCTCAAACTCTTAAATATAAATATTAACTGGAGTCTGAAAGACACTGAAGTTATGGAGATGATCAAAAATACGTTTCAAAATTTGAGTTTAAGAGTGGTTTGAGGCATTTTCCTTGGCCAGTGAGGTATAACAGTTGAAATCTGAGACGTATCTGTGAACTACTGCTTAATCAAGTAATCTAAATGCAGGCCTCATATGTCCTATAGGGTCTTAGATTGTATTCTCTTAATAGACAGGAAGCAAGTCTACCAGGTTTCTCTTTTCACACAATATACCTACCTCAGCAATGAACACTTTGAAAGCCTGAATTCTCCTAAACATATTTATATAGGAAATGGCCTTTCAAATGAAAATGGCTGAATTAAAAAAAGAAATTGATATCAATTCTTCAGTTT